GGGAAAAAAACAACAGATTTTTAGGTCAGTTTAGCTTGTATGTATACAAATAAGAGTTTGCAGAACCTCATGCCACAGCCAAACAGGGGCAGATTTCCATGCACATTCCTGTCATAGATCTTCTGAAAAGCATCACACTTTACATCTGCCACATCCAAATTCAAGGTGTCTTTAGTAGAGCATTCCTGTGGGAAATTTTAGTCAAAACGTCTCCAAATGTCATAAAAACCTTGAGGTCTTCAATCCATGTGAAAAGATGTAAGCAAGTAAGATGAGGGTCATTTTATTCTGCACAACACTTTTATATAACAATGGGACTAAGAACATCTTTTTACAACAAATATTACTGATTGCAATGATTAATTTTAGTTTAGGTACTCGCTTAAGCTTTTCTTCATCCCTGCTTTAAAGTATCGCTTCTGCACTTCAACAACCATGCAGTACATAACTGAGAATTATCCTCAACATTTTTACAGTAATGACAGCTTATTTATATTACAAGTAATATAAAATTACACTGATAACACTAGCAACTGAAGACTAATGTTTTAACAAAAAGCTTCCAGGCTGCCCAGAATTAATTGACAAATCTGTATTAAAGATTAAGCAACAATAATTCATGTGATTTAGGGTTGTAGCACTGGCTAGACTATATAGCTCCTTTCCAAAGGAATATTATGAGAACTTAAAAATGTATTAAAATGTGTACACACATTCCTAGAAAAAAAAAAAACCTGAAACACTAAAGGGTGCATGATGAAAAAAGAAAATCTTTATTGAAATACTGCAGTACCAAGTTTAAAGATACTAGGATTTAATAAAATTTTTAATTATCCATAAAAATTCCATCTACTTTACAAATACAGTGATGCGTGCAAAACTCTGGAATTTTTACTTGGCGAATATCTCATACATTTGAAACTCACAGTTGGTACTGTCCATCTTCTGCCACAGAGATCAAATGGCCAGTGCTGAGAAAAGCTTTTGTCACACGAGTTGCACTTCTCAAAACTACACAGAAAATTACCTTAATTTTTTTTAAGCTTCTATAGAAGGGGTAAGGGAATTGAAGAGCGCTGAACAAGAGCAGAGGTGGCCGCTCTCGGCGGCCAGGAGCTGCCCGTGCCCCGAGCCCGCCATTTCAGCCAGGCGCCCGAGGCGGGGCGGGCAGCGCCCCCTGGCGGACACGCTTTGGCGGCCCCGGCGGTCACCCCCGCCGCACCCGCAGCACGGCGGGGGAACTCACCGGCGGGCAGGAGTCCTCCGTACGGGCACCGGGGGCCTCCCACAGGCACGACACGTCCAGCATTTTAAGTAAATTACAATTTGTACGAATTGCCACACCAAGTTAAATCAGAAACTCAGAGCCCAGGACCGTTTCTGCAACGTTGGTCAGAAAACAGGAAGCAAAGAGCAGGACATGCATATAGCTATAATCCCACTCCCGAGCTCCCTACTCAACACTTGATCCAGTAACAGTATCTTTGTATTCAGCAGATCAATTTTACTTTATTGAGTTTGCCCAGTCTTTTTTCAGGCCCATGAAGGATCATGGCATTCATAACTCATGGGTGAAAAGAGGGAAGAGGCGTTCTCATGGGAGGTAACTTTTCTCAGCTCTGCGTATAAGTTAGGTGTATATACAATTACACTTCCTCTGCACCCCTACCATCTGCAAGTAAGGAACAAGGGCCTAACAGACCCTGAGCAGGCAGAATGGCTGCAATAAGCTTGCTTATCCCAAAGAATAATTGTACTCCTCTATTACAAAGGTCATACTACACAGCCTTGCTCCAGGGCAGCTTCACAATCCACAGCATGTTACTACAAAGAGACATATCGAGATCAGTGGCATTAAGAAACAAGCTTGAAGTCTAGAAGTGTCTTGTTTAAAGGTCAGCATTGAAGCCTGAACATGATCTTCCATTCTATTTGTTACATGTGGGGCTCAGACATTTCTCCTTTGATTATTAGCAGGACCTCTCTCTGCCAAAGGCATCCTTACACGACCTAAATCAAAACCCTGCCCTAGATCATGGAGATCACCCATCAGTTAAACTGACTTAGGTAATTTCGTACGTATTCTCTGCCTCAGTCATTAAATCAAATGGACTGTTGAATTTTAAACCTAGCACAAACACCCTCCTGGAAATGTGCTATAAATCAATAAATATTATTTAATCAGAAACAAGCTTGCTTACAGGTCTCCAGATTAGATACAAAACAGGACGTTAGATACAGTTCAGACTGCAACATGTCAATTTTCCATGGGGCCTGAGTTTCTATACCGGTAAAACTCCCATAGCACTTCCACATTTCTGCTGCTTGTTGCGCAATTTTTTTCAAACTAGCACATTGTCAAAACAACCAGAAACTTTTCACAAACATTTCTTCAGTGTTTACAATTTAGGCATCCCACACAAACTTCAACTGTGCAATCCAGAACTGTAGGTATATTTTAAGTAGTCTTAATACTCTCAAAACTGAGGATATGCTGGCACTGCCAGATGTTGCTTTGATGGTAGGCTAAAATTATTTACCTAGCATGCAGAACGGCTGGAGCTCAAGTCATCCTACTAAAAAGCTTCAAGATAACAATAAAACCACCTAAGCAGAGCTCAATTGTTAAGGCACAATAAGGGACTTCATTTCCAGGCACTATCGCAAGTCAGAAAGACACACAGATATCTGACTTGGACACGAAGAGGTGTCCTGTTACGATAAAGTGGAATGAGACTTTTTCTTCTCATCTTTCTCACTAGCTAATTTAGCCCTCCCTCTTTTTAAAAGCCAAACAAATAAAAAACTTTCTGTTGACAGTGTTGTTCTTAGGTATCTACCTTCTTGTGCACTGTATAAGGACCTCAAACCACTGATTCATAACTAGTAATTCTGTTCAGCAGCAGAATGCCAGAAAGTAACCTCATCTGTGACTGTTCACACTTAAGCCCTGCAGTTTGAATAGTGGTGCTTTTATTACTGATTTCAAAATGAGGTGATAGGTCTTCTATCAGGAACATCAGCAAAATGTCAGGAGTCTTATGGGAGTCCCATTAATATTTCTTCTGAACAGATGATTTAAATCATTATCTGGAAAATACAAGAAGTTTCACTTAGACTGATAGAAGACTAGACCACATAACAAGTCTGTTTCTATAGTGTATATGGACTGATTTTTCTAAGTCTTACCACTAGGGAAAAGTGTTTATTCACTGCGCTGCATATTGCATAATCCAAAAGCATCTGACCATACTAATTATTTTATTAAAAAGCATTCTGTTAAGCCTAATTAAGAGATAATATCATTATCTCAGAAAACTACAGTGAATAACTAAAAATTCAGGTACTTTTATTTAACCCAATACACAGACTTCAGAGAAGCTAACATGTATAGCAGTTTTACAGTGTTCAGCAGATGTTACTCTATTTGCTAAACAATATCAGACTGCAAAATTGCTCTTACTGTTGATAGATCAATAATGACATGGAATAAGTCATTATCTCCGTGACAACAGAATTGTAACTGTTAGAGGAATATTGCGCATGTTGCTGCTGCAACTCTTACAGGCATGCCTCGGCTTCCTCACACAGCTGCTCTCTCTGCAAGCCTGGTATGCCCAGAGTACTACCAACCAAGGGCATCTCTTGGACTACAGAGGATTAAACTACAACTGTGGTTATGTTATTCCGGAAAGAGCATATCTTCACAAGGGTTTATTACACTTCAGGTTGATGTTCTTATTTCACTTACAATTTCTAGTCCCCTTGTAGTAGAAACAACTAGAATGGAATTTAGGAAGGCAAATACAGAGTTCCATTCATAGCCCAACAATTTTTTGAAAGACGTAATTTAGTTGCCTTTCAGAAAGATCTCTTTCTTTTTATTCAATTTTCATTTAATTCTCCTCTGACTCCCCAGGATCTTAAACTGGCAGGAGTCTTTCTGATAGATTAAAATGACAAACTACATACACCACTTGGGCTATTACACTTAACACTTGTTAAGCCTCTGCATATTGTACCAGTTCAACAAATAGAAAAACATATTTTTGCTTTGCAGAATTTACTGGTTTTATCTAGCATGAACTGGATACTATTTTTTTTTCTATGTTAACCACAACACAGAAAACACAGAAAGCAGTAACTTTTATGTGTCTTGATCAGCATGACTATGCTTGGCTTCGTGTTCTGTTGAAACAAAACATACTGACACACAAAATGCAAAATGTTCATCAACAATACAGTATGCAAACTTTGCCTTCAGATTCATAATAAAAAGTATTTCTTCACAAATATACACACTTTCAAACACTGCAGCAACACTTTTTTATTCATAAGCTAGTCACATAGGATGACAAATGGTAAGTTTACCACAATTGGCTTTGGAATGTGTTCTAATTTAAGTAAAAAGCAACAGAAGTGATGCCTGAAGGTTGTTTCATAGAAAATGAAAACCGAGCTGTCACTCAAGCATCAGCTGCATTCCACAAAAATCAGGAACTAGCGAATAGTCTTCTGAACGCTGAAGACAAGCTGGTGCTGTTTGTAAAGCTCTCACCTGAGTGGAACTCAGTGGAAAAAAATACTTTTCCCTACAGATGCAACTAATACAAATGGCCTTTAATATACCAAAAGTCCAGATGCTAGAGCTGCAATAATACTCAGATTTTCACTTTGATTTGTTATTTGTGAGAGACTGGTTTAGTACAGAGGAAAACTTTTCAACATTTTCTTCTACTTACAGGATGGACCCGGCTGCTGTAGACCTCCATGCTCTGCTCCAAGTTCTTGGAAAGAAACCTGCGTCTGCCCAGGAGCTCAAACAAAGCTGGCTGGGCACAGGGCCGCTTGCAGAACACGTTCCAAATTCCGCGCTTCCCTGGCTGATACCAGGCAGCTCCGCGCGTCTTCCAGCACCAGCTGACCCAGCCCCCCCGCACAGGC